TGCTTCCCCCTCTCTGGTACAATTAACAGATGAAGGCGTGAGTAAGTGTGTGTGTGTCTAAGGGGAGAGGATATGACAGAAAGAGGAAGGTGAGATCGCGCGCGGTCCGTGGCCCGTTTGTTAGAGTACAGCTCCGGCATTCGCCTGGTGTTGATCGGGGAAACCAGGGAAAACTACCGATCAGAGCAGCTGGCCGCAAGAATTCACCTCAAGGCAGCTAACACGCTAGCGTCGAAAATCGCTAGTTTTGGTGGGTACGCGAGACGTGCAGGAGCAGCCAGTGGGGGGGCGAAGGAGATGAGCTCACCTGTTCGTCGTCGAAGGCGAGGGCGCCGCGCCGCAGGAGCTCCCGCAGGGCGCCGCCCTGCCCCGCGCGCGCAGCCAACGCCAGCGGGCTCTCGCCCTGCGATGCTTTGGCCCCGCGCTCCAGCAGCAGCCGCACGGCGCCCCACTGGCCCGCCTTGGCCGCGTGCGCCACCAGCGACACCGCGCCGCCCTCCTCGCCCGCGCCCGCCGCCTCCGCGCTCGCCCCTGCGCGCACACACAAGCACACTTCAAAAAAAAAATTTTTTTTAAGATACATAGACGCAAATCGCGAATTCAAGCGCTGGGGGAAGTTGAGCGCTTCGCGCTTTCGGAGTATTCCTCCATTAATTCACATTGTGCGTCACCTCTCGTCTTCAGTCAATTTTCCAGAGGACCGCCAGGTAGCATCTCCGCGTACGCGCCTCTCTCTTACGCGATCCTGCGTCACTACCCAGTCCTACCCATTGGGAAGGAATTAGGATAAAGGTCGGGTTAAGGGCACTTCACAAGGGGGTGGACTAGCTCTTGTGAAGCGTCCAAACGAAAAGTGGTTTGTCGGAATAAATTTCTCATGAGTTTGTTCGGGATTCGAACCCGGACCTCCTTGGTAAAAGGCGAGCGATTTCACTCTGGGCACAGAAGAAAAAACACGCGAACGCACACAAGAAAAAACATGCGAACGCACACAAGAAAACAGCAAACAAAGACTGAATATCACGCGATCGAATGTCACAAAGCCCGATGACAAAATAATTTAGAAAAAAACGACTGAGTAATACTGCCGAGGAAAAAAAACACTAATAGACGATCACCCAACGCTGACGAACAAAAACAAAGCACTCAACGACCAGGCAGAAGGCCCAAAGAAAAGAAGGAGGGAAGGGCACCTTTGTCGAGGAGCAGCTGCAGCACGCGCTCGTGGCCCGCGGCGGCGGCGCGGAAGACCGGCGTCAGCCCCTTGGCGTCGGCGGCGTCGTGGGCCGCTCCGCGCTCCAGCAGCATGGCCACCGCGTTCGTGTGACCCTCCGCCGCCGCCAGCGCCAGCGGCGTCGCGCCGTCCGCGTCGCGCGCGTCCACCTGCCAACAGTATCGGGCCTGTATGACACCTTTCAAACCGCGCACGCGCACACGCACGCGCACACGCACGCGCACACGCACGCGCACGCGCACACGCACGCGCACACGCACGCGCACACGCACGCGCACACGCACGCGCACACGAACGTACACACGCACATACACACGTACGCGCACACACATTTTGACCAAAGAATATTAGAACTATGTTAAGCATCCTTTGTTATCAGGTGTACATGTCTTCCAAAAGGGGGTGTGAACTTCAATTCTTTACTTCCTTGTGTACGTATTACAAAGAAATGATTGATTAGCGTTTCTGGGCGCGTCAACTACAAGGCCGTTAGTACCGTAAGTGTAGTCATATGTAACGGATGTTACTGCAGAGCTTGAGACCCGGAGGTCGTAGGGTTCGAGTCTCGACCGAGGCTAGGTCGAATTAAGCCGCTGTCTGGAAACTAATTCTAGCGGCGGCTGCTCTGATCGCTAGTTTTCTGTTGTTCCTCCGATCAACACCAGGCGAATGCCGGAGCAGAACTCTACAACTGATCTTTCCTTCCTCTTCCTTGCCCTATCCTCATTCCTGACTTACACACACGTTAAATTACACGCTCTACACCGCGACATATGTCGGGAGACCAATCGGAAGTTTAGAGCATGAGAGGTACCTGGTTGGGGAAAAAACGAAAAACCGCCGTCGGCTAAGTCGGAGCCAGGCCTCACCAATGAGCAAGGGAAGATCAGCGCCATCTCCCGCGATGGACCCATTCACTACACTTACGGCACTAATTGCCTCACGGCAGCGCCCGCGCCCGGAATCACAACCCTTTCCATCAACTG